CTACTTGGATTTTTGTACTTTTAGACCCAGGCGATTTCGCTGATAACTGCACACCGCCTCGTGTCATCTCGGCTGATTTAAGACCACTCTCCACACGTTCGCAAGTTCTACCCCCTCTATTCTATTCACACTCGGATGCTAGGCGATTTCCACCGCCTCGGCCACCGGTCGCTGTTGTGTGAATCTTGAACCCCGTCTCAGGATGTCCACATTTTCTAAATCTATCGTATGCCCAGTGTCTAGAGCATGCCATGCCATTGCTGAATCTTTGACTAACGCTTGGTATTCCTCTGCGTTTCTCGGTGGTTTGTTAATGGAACGCTTATGCTCACCGATTCTGGTGTGCAATTCCCTGGCTGTCTGACCTATATAAACCTTCATACAGTCGTTACATTTTATTTTGTGTACACAGTTCCTAGTCCTATCAACCGGAAGGCGATCCTTCAAATGCACCAGAGCGTAGCGTAAAGTCTTCCCCTGCAGGGATACGTCCGTGTCAATACGTTCGTCCTAGAGCAAGCCCTTTGGATGATCATTCTTATGCGGGATTGGCACCAAAACCGAGCGTAAAGTCTTCCCCTGCAGGGATACGTCCGTGTCAATACGTTCGTCCTAGAGCAAGCCCTTTGGATGATCATTCTTAGCTGGTGCGGGATTGCTTCAAATATCAAACACACAAATGAGTTTTCGGCCTCTTATGAAGTGGCATGTTAGTGCCCAATAATGTTCCTGAAAGGTGTGTTCCTGAAAGGTATTCATCTCCAGGCAGGACACTCACGGGGATGACCACACCGTCCGTTATCTAGAGGAACCCCATGGAAAAAGTCGACTATAACTGGGTCTGAAATGCGCTTTCTTTTGTCAGAATTATTAACTTCTTCCAGAATGTTTCAGCGTGAGGCATGAGGTGCAAATTAATCTAGTAAAAAAGGGCATTGCCTACCACCGCAGTAATTTCTTTCTGGTCCGGTAATTCCGTTTAATATTCACTAAAAACATCATGCTGTTGTTAGCATTTTTAAGCTATGCTTTGGAAAAAACAGATACGCAGCACAACCAGGGATACAAAACACTGCTTCGTAATGTGATACTCACATTCAGCCAAATAGTACGCAGTACAGTTTGGTGTGTAAAATTTCACCGGGCTCCTAACTCCGAAGTGAGAAGAATCATTATGTCTAATGAGCATAGCCCTCCGAACGGGTTCTCCTTGGAATAAATGCACCGTGCTTCTCTCTAAGTATCTATCCTAAACAAACTGTTTAACCAAGATATAATATTTCAGTACGCAGTGCTTTTTATTGATTCAATTCTGCCGACATGACCTGAAGTTGCTTTGCCTCTCGAATCCCGTGGGATGTCTTTTACCCAAACATACTTCTTACGTTTTGTTAGCAGTGAAAATGTGTTTAAATTTGTTAACCTTCTCAACCAGCAAGCTATTGTTAGAGTGATTTCCAAAGAGTCCCTATACTTAGGCTTCTTAGGACTCGAAAAATGAGAACTTGGGAGAAATGGTGATGTCAGCACTTCATATGGACTTAAACAGGCTTGGCAGTGGTGAAATGAGTAAGGCCAAACAACTTAATGGGTTCTTACCTGCGAATGGCCCACATAGCCGATAGTGTTTGATCCTGTCACCTGCAGAACATGATACAATGAAGCCGGTAAGTCGAACTGAGCCATTTCATCCCAAGAAAATTGCCAGAATGCAATATGGTGCGTATCATATTTTTCATGCTTCCGTGAATAAGTACTTCCTCTACTGTTCCCTAGCCAGACATCGAATCCAGCATCAGCGAGAATAAATGCAAGGCTTTGATTTCGTAGATTATTTATCCATGTGTGTGCGGAATCCAGCAGCCCATGTTGAAGAAAGACAACCTTTCCTACATAGGGGAACAAGTATGGTGAACGAAGGACAAAACTCCACCTACCATTGAGTTCGATATCGGGATTTCTCATCCGTATCAGACACAATATATATCCATCCGCTGTTTTGACATAGTGTTCCTCGACGTGAAAACCATAGTTTTCAATGATTTGTGTCTAAATTTGTCTAAATTCAAACGAGGCTGGTGATATCTTACGGCATTCTGTAATATCTCTGGATCCTTCGAAAGATGCCACGTCTCGAAAAAAATATCTTCATAAATGAAGGATATTGGATAGCCAAGTACTAGCGATAAAAACACAGGTACAATCACAGGTGCGAGGAGTTGTTTGGACATCTTGAAGGTCAGCACAAAGTGATCATATGCTGTTCAAGCTGCAACAGATGAGGATGGCGCAGGTAATCATAGGCAACGAACACGATAAATAGCAGGATTTGAATGCCACATAATGCACTTTCCGTAAAAGCAGAATGACACAAGTTTCGAAAAGATCTCTCATTTCACCTTCAACCAGATGCTAGCAAAACAACGGCTTTCGGAATTACGCAGTTCGATAACTCAGAGTCCACTTCAAAATAGGTAGATGTATGCCGCAGAATGTTGACAATTCGTTTGCTGCTTTTGGACGATATGCAAGATAGTAAAGCCATTTTGGGGTATCATTTAAGCCACTAGTGAATGTGTAGATCACATGAATACGTAGGTGCCTCAGATGCTATGAAGCAAACTTTTATGGGTGTCCACATCGGTCAGAATGGATCATTGACTTCAGGCAAATCAACGGCAATAAAATAGTCACATTTTAGCGGTTGTCTTAGCGTTCTAAAATCATTTTTAAAGTTGATTTTACCCCCGGTGACAAGATTTTCTGTTTAAGTGCTGCAAATGCAAGTTCTAAAAAATCACTCTCTTTAGCTTGCCCTGAAAGACCATAGCGAATGACTGCCAAACTGTCAGTCTTGTGCCATAGAAAATTTCACTGGTTTCTCATGCTTACTCAAGGGTACTCTTTTTTTAATAAATTTCACCACATCTCGTCAGAGGTCCGAATCATTGTTTGAACTGATGGCTCATTGGGCAACCATCCAAAACCCATTCATTCCTCAAACAGAGTTGGCATGTCTCGTTAAGTTTATCTCCGCGTAATTATTCTTTGCTTGAGAAAGAAATCACACCTAGAGTGAATCGGCTTTTTCGATAGACCCCGTTTATTTACTTCTTTGCATATCCAGGCGCTATCATAGATAAACTGAACGCAACGCATTGAAAAGACGTGTATAGATGTTGATAATATAGGAACGAGCATCTTTGCGATGTCTGAGAAAGGCGGAAAATGGTGCCTTATAACGGACTAAACATCTTCCAACGAATGCAACATCTTTGGTCACCAGGTATTCAAAGTAACGCAAAATGTTAACTGGGATTCCAATAAGGTAAATCAGTTTCCAAAAGAAGCAGCTCAAATTCCTCGAAAACAGTAACACTATTGAAGAACTACAGTATTATACACAACCAACTGGAAACTTTGCCAAAAAGGTCAGCTGTCATAAAGATGAAGACGCTTTAGGGAAGTACCCGTCAGAGTTTCTCATCAGGGCACGGTTATTTGGTGTTTGCTGGAAGGCTCTGAACCCAAACAAATGACTTACCAAGAGCTGGAGAGAACAATTTGAGTTATGAAGTTTAGACGAGATCAGGAAGATCAATTTTGAAACTAGACCGTCATCATTAAAAAAGGTACCTGTCAAGTCGTTTTTTATAAATTTTCGTACATAAGAATTTAAATAAGTGAGTCGATTTCAACCTTCAAATGCAGTTTACGCATCCAAATGCATGAGTATAGTTCATATTCTAAAGATCTAAAGATTTCGTAAGGCGACAATATCAAAATAGTATGGTCATCCTGGTGAATCACTCTAAGACAGTCCTCAATGTCATGAGGATCGTGTGAATTCTAGTTGACAAGATTCTTCGTAACAAGGCATCCTAACAAAACTCAGGTGCAGCTTGTGAAAGTCGGGAGGCTTCAACGACTGATAAGACAGCAGATGCATACGCAAACGGAATCCGTATTGCTTCATGCAATCAAGTAATCCAGTCGGGCAACTCTGAGGTAAGTACCAAATATATATCTCGGCCTTCACGCTACATTAAGTGGATAACACTTGATCATCAACTATTTCTCATCCAGACGGTATCGGGTAAATCATGCTCTTGTAGTTTGCCTTGGCTAGGTGAGGTTAGCAGATCAGAACGCTTTAGCTCGATAAACCTCTGATCAATGTACCATTGAAGATGGGTACCTTACCAACTAGTTGCAAGCTATTTTGCGTAATGACCAAACAAGATTTCATCAAAATTACGCTACAGTGCATAGAAAAATTAGTACTTTCTCGCCAAATCAATAGAATTCTATCGTAGTGAGTTTTCCGTTATTGCAGAACATTGATCAATATCAATGCGCAATGATAAGTATGTAAGGACAGAAAAAGATTAAAATCAATTCCAGACAGGTGTAGTTTATCTAGATCATGCAGGTCTGCTGTTGGATATCAACCCTTCAAATCGGGACTAGAAAAGTAAACAATTTTTGGCCATTTCTCGCCTTCCCAATTCGAGGTAGGCTAATCCAGCTGGTTACGACTGGTCATGTCCGTCAATCCGTGCCGAAACAGTGCGCTGTTTACCACAAAGCCTCATCATTGGTACAAGCGACGGAATTCGAAAATGGAAAATGGTACAGTTCATCATTATATGTGTTGTGGCGCTGGACTCAGTGGTGCGTTATTGAGTTAAAATCGTACAATGAACGCTAATTAGAGTGTTCAGATACAAAAGCCTAGGCTTATAAGTTACCGCCTGAATCAGCAGACACGAAGTACTGCCTGCCCAAACAACTCAGACCTGTTTCCAAAAAAGAAACTACTCACGAGGTTGCTGAAAACTCTTCGACAGCCCTTTTTGGTGCTCATCAGGTAGGGGCACTCCCTCTAATTCCCGGCAACCTTATGTTCTACTTGAACCCAGATTGGACTGATTTCACTAAATGTACTCATTTGAAAATCGATTTGGTTTGCACGTGGATCTCTTGTTTATGATGTTCTCCAACTGAATATTCCAACTGGAACATGGGGCGGCCTTTTTGCAGAACAGTCAGTGGAAGAACATCATAGACGATAGATCTACTTGAGTCTCCTGTGCAAACCAAGTTAGTTTGCAAATGAGTGTATTTGTTGGAACTCAGATTTATCTTCACAGAATACCAATTGGTAAGTGACACGTTAAAAAACGATAAGATAAAGTGAGTGCATTAAAACATGTCAATGTGGCACCCCAAATCCTTGTGGTGCTCGCTGAGGACATGTTCTGAGTGCTTGAAAGTTTTCGGGACCCAGTTCAAAGAAGAGTCCTTGAAGGACAATCATGAACCACCTCTGGCAACAATTATCTCATACTACTGAACTGCTGCTCGACACATTAAAGTAGATTGTTTCTACGGGGCATAACTAAATCAAGTCGTTCCTTTCGCCATTGTTGGGTGTATTTCTGATTTTTTTTACAATTTTTTGAGACATTTAAGGACGGTCAACATCACACTGATGAGTCGAAATCTGGGATATATATATACTAAGGACGATAAGTGGCATTAAAAAGTGCAGGCCATCCGGTAATGAAAGGGATTGTTATTCATCCTCTCTGGGACCAGGAAAAACCTACTGCCAATAACCGGCAGAGGAGTTCAACGCGCATTCTGGACCAGTCCAGAATGAGTTCAGTGGAGAAGACAATTTAATGAAATTGTGTTGGGCCAAATGCTGTAACAGCCGAATTTTCATCGCAACCTGTGATTAAAACATTGCCATTTCTCTATGAATATGCTGAACACGTTTAACTCTCAATTACAGATGTAGGACTGATTGTTGATTCAATAAATGACCTATCTATTATACGTGTTGACAGTTCAGCTTCTAAAAGACTTCAGAAGAAAGATTTTACGTTGCTGCACCAAACCGTAACGTACTTCTTTCTGCGCCAAGAGGTATGATGTAGCTTCTTACTTCTAGGCTGGTCAACTATCATTCGGGTCATAAACTAAATAGTCAAGTTAGGAGTAGGATGGCTAACGCAAGCTTATCCTAGGAAGGATTGATGTATTGCTCTAATTTACACCGCATTTCTCCACCAAGCTCGAGACCGACTTATTTGTCTTTTGTACGGAGGGCTCATTCGAGTGATCGATTACATCTGTACATGTTTTGTCGCAACTTGCTGTTGGTTTGTCAGCCTTTGTGCCTAACTTCTCAGATAACAGGTACCCAGCTCAGGCTTTTGAGATATATAAGTAAGGAACTCATCAAACAAATGGAGCACATAATACTCCCTTTGGCGTGTATATACCTTTATCGACGTGTAGTGGTTTCGTTCATAGAAATCAGGCAGTCACGTACTGCATAGCAATGCTCACCTTTCACATACCCAGATCAGTGCATTTTCTCGAAGGTGTACCTTAAAGTTATGTAGCTTTAGCCACTGGAAAAACATACAGTTTTGGGTGGTGTGGCAAAAGATACTCCTTTTGGCTTGATTGATGCTGACATGTCCACACCAAGTATTGTGGACTGACTGAGTAACGTAACAGATGGTTACCCTTCTACATACACTGCATAGAAGACACTCTTGCATTGGCTAGAATGTCAGTTATCGAACAGCTAGTACCCAAACACTGTTTCCACAGCGCAGTCCGAACAGAACAAGGAACTTGTCCATTTGAATGCTCTCTGAGTGGCATAAAACTAACCACAGATTAGCACATGCAGGACACAAGTCAACGCATGACAATGCACCAATGAAGTTCAGTAAGCAAAACGGAGAGTCATGCGGTAGAACGAACCAAAGTTAAAGCAGAGTCTGAGAAGAGACGCAATGTCCTGCGTCACGACCGACTCACCTATGTGGCTAGCGACTACATAATCATGTTTTGAAAGTCGGGATACGAGTATGAACATTTTTGAGTTGCATGAGCAAATCAAAATCATCTCGCCTGGTGCCAGATACTAATGGTTAACGGATCTCGAAAAAGAGACAGGCGCTTGATGGAGTATTCAAAATGCCGTTTTGCAGTTAATCACACGATCTGATAGTTGAGTGATATCTTAGGTTGTAACAGACATCGATCTGGTTGGAAGCCAAAAAACTATTGTGTTTTCTAGTCTCTTGAATGTCGATTGTCCCATGTACAACAGCAAGTGTGTGTGTGTCCCACTTGCGCGTGAACCGAAGAGTTGTCTCTGTGATATGTGGGTATCAGCTGAATATTCGTGAACCACACTTTGAATGAAGTGGCTGGAAGTGTGCCCTGTGCGGTGTGGACACA